CCAGTGAGGAAAACAGACACACAGAAAATGCATATGCACAAATTACACCAAGTGTTAAGAAGGAAAAGTATTTGGCTGAATGCAGTATCTTTTTTTTGTTTGTTTGTTTGGTTTGGTTTTTCGAGACAGGGTTTCTCCATTTAGTTTTGGTGCCTTTCCCGAAACTCATTCTGTAGACCAGGCTGGCCTCGAACTCGCAGAGATCTGCCTGCTTCTGCCTCCCAACTGCTGGGATTAAAGGCATGTGCCACCACCGCCCGGCCTGAATGCAGTATCTTACATAATTATTACATCTTTGTACAAATCATACACTTTTTAATTTATTTTCTCATGTGCATTGGTGTTTTGCCCTCATGTTTATCTGTGTGAGGGCATCAGATCCCTGGAACTGGAATTGCAAGCAGTTGTGAGCTGCCATGTGGGTGCTGGGAATTGAACCCAGGTCCTCTGGAAGAACAGGGAGTGCTCTTAAGCACTGAGCCATCTCTCCATCCCTAAACATACACATTATATATATATATATATATATATATATATATATATATATATATATATATATATATATATGCTTTTCGATTTCAGAATTTCTAGTTCTTTTTCCCCTACTTTCTCTTTATTGGTACCCTTTGGGAAAATATTTTCCTACTTTCTGTAATGACTATTCTTGGTTGCCAACTTGACTTTATCTGGAATGAACTAAAACCCAAAAATGGAGGACGCACCTATGAGGGATTTTTTTTTGCTTAATCTGAAGAAAGTAAACCCACTTGTAATTCCAGATCTTTGAGGTGGGAAGAGACACACTGTAGTGGGTAGCTATTCCAGCTTGGATCTGGAAGTTCCAACCCCCATTGAGACTCTGGCAACTGTTACGCCTACTAGGCGGGGCCAAGGGAGGCATCTGGAGACCCGAGACCTGGATGGGCAAGTGCTCTCTCTGTTCCTGGACCCTGGACGGTTGAGGTTGACTGAGCAGAGCTCCAGAGAATACCGCTGGACTGCAATACACCTTCCCCAGACCACCGCAACCTATCTATTCCTTCATTTGTAAGTCACCCACTAAATAAATCTTCCTTTTAACTACATGGAGTGGCCTTAATAATTTCACCAATAACACACCTTTAATCTGGATCTTGAGGCAGGAAAACATACCTTTAATCTGGACCACACCTTCTCCTGGAAGTCTATATAAGGACTTGAAGAAGGAAGCTTTTGCTCTTTGCCTGCTTGCCCTCACCTTGCTGGCAAATTCATTCCTTTCCTAGCATTAGGGCCTACTTCTTCAGGATTCCAGCATATACTGAAAACCAGCTGAGACATTCAACCTTGTGGACTGAGAAACCACTGGATTTTTGGGCTTTCTGGTCACAGCCAGCCATTGTTGGATTAGCTGGACCACAGCCTGTAAGTCATTCTAATAAACCCCCTTTCTATATATAGAGAGAGATTCATTCTATAAGTTCTGTAACTCTAGAGAACCCTGACTAATACAATTCCTCACATATGATTTCTTTTGGTTTTGCTTTTAAATTGATATTTATAAATCATATACATTACACGTATATAGTAGCTGGGTTAATGTCTTTATTGCAAGTCCACCCTTTGAGGACATTTTCTATTAAGTGTATCTGGTTCTTCTTCTATGTGTGGTCATAGTTTCCTGTTTCTTTTTTTTTCTATTTTTTTAAATAAAAAAATGGGTATTTTAGGACTGAGAAGATGAATCTGTAGGTAAAGTTCTTGTAACACAAGCATTAGGACCTGTGTTCAAATCCCCAGTACTCCAGGAAAAAAAAATGGGCATGCTGATGCTGAGAAAGTGGAGACAGGAGTATCCTGGAGGCTTTCTGGCCAGATAATCTAGCCTCTTGCTTCTACACATGCACACATGGGAACATGTACATGCCCCACCCCACCTCACCACACACACACATAGACAGCACAGGTATTTAAGTCTGTGCTGCTAGGGATCAAATCCAGGGCTTTTCGTGCATGCCAGGAAAGCACTGTTCTACTGAACCTCATTCCCAGCCCCAAAACAGTATCTTGTATATGACATCTCTGGAAGTTGGTTATTAATGTCACTATTTGATAGTTTGGTGATTTTCACGAGCTATTTCTGTGAAGCCCGGCTCCCTGTACTGTGAATCCACTGACTTATCTGTTCATTGAGCTTACTGGTCAGCTAATGATGGGTCAGAATTAATATCCCATGAGAATGCTTTATGCGTATGTGTTATCAGTATTTGCCCTCAGATCTCTGGCAGTTTATAACTCTGCCTTGGCCCTAACTTCCTGCTTAAATGGGGTCTCTAGTCAGTCAGACATGAATGAGGTCTTCTCTAGATTTTCTAGGGCACGAGGCCAACCTTCGTGTAACCTTTTAGATCACCAGGAGTTATCAGAGCTTTTCCCATTGACACTTTGCTTCCCAACCTGTCCAGATTGGATCAAGTTCTTGCTTGCTTCATGTGGTAATACTGTCCTGGGTGGCCATGTTGTTAGACAATTTCCAGTGAGTGTTCAAGAAAAATGCCCTGAGAATAGTTTTCAGCAGAATTAACTCCATGTCAGGACAAACTAATGTAACTCCCTTCAAATGGAGCTTTCCCAGGAAGATATGAAGGTATGTCAAAAACATTCTGGGGATAAGGTTTTGGAGGAGCACCACAATAATACCTCCTCTGGAGCTACAAGGCTACTGGTTTTCATAGCAACTAAATACCAAGATTTTCTAGTTTAAGGTTACAGTAGAGCTGGTGAGTATATAATGAGAGCAATTCAAAATGCTGTCAGGCACACAATCCTGAGACTTGGAAGGTTTTTGTTAATATTCATTATAGTATTGCAAGCCTTCAATTTCTAGAGACCAGAAAGCTGTTTACCTTTCTGTTTTCTCATTGTTCTTAAGGAAGGGACAGATTTACAGAGGTCTTCATTTTAACACTCCAGAAGCTCCAGACTCTTTGAAGTTAAATGAAAATTTCTGAGATGATGTTCTAATTTTGTGGCCACAGGCATGGAGACAAGCATTATGGGAGAATTATTTGTAGACCTCATTGAGGTGTAGGTTATATACAAACTTTAATCACTCTAAGTATAGCTTGATGGGTTAGTGTTTTTAACAATTTTTGATGTAAAAAAAAAATACAGTAGTTTTGTATCTCTGTAGTAGAAAGATCAGAGCAACAATACCTATGACCTCAAATATCCTTTGTAGTGAAAACATTAAACAAATCATTGTTTTGAAATATACACTAATTGTGACCTTTTATTACTCCTGATTGTGCCCTTGTACCCACAGAACAGTGTCAGAACATGGTCCAGGAATGGAGTCCTGGGAGAATTCTGAGAGCTTGTGAGGAAACTCCAAGAGTCTTGTGATCTCAGGTTATTCAGAACATGGAATTGCTCTTGGAATGTGTTTTCATGGCCCTCCCAGGTGTAGTGGATAGGAGTGGATAGTCCTTCAGACTAGTCATTATAACTGTCTGTTAATGAGACTCATTCATTAACTCCATTCTCCCAAGATCCCATGGCCTAGAGTGGTGACAGACCAGGGATCTCTCCTTTTCCGTCCTCTCAACCAGGCTCTCCTCTCCGCTTTTGAGTTTGACATTTTTAGAATCCACACATAAATGAGATTCTTAAGTTTATATGCATTAGCCTATTTCATTTAGAATGTTCCCCCTGAGTTGACCCAAATTGTCTTAAGTGAATTTTTTTTTTCTTTTTTGTGGCTGGATAGTATTTCATTGTAAACAGAAGACTGATTTTATATCCATTCACATGTTGATTGACTGTGGGAAAACTTGTAGGTAAGTGAAATGATGGAAATTGTGTGAACTTAGTATGTTATTCTCCTAATCACACATGTTCAAGACTGAGGTGATTCCCTAGCAGAACGGACCCAGCTTAAGGACTGGAATCTTGATGCTTCCAAATATTGTTATCAGTGTGTACTGGTATCTCCAGCAAGTATTGACTTAATTCCCATATAACTATTGTTTCTCAGAAGGAAATTACTCAGGCCTGGGAATGCTAAATTCTAAATAATATATAATACTAATCCACAGAAGGCTTACATATCGAATATTTGTCATAAATACTGGACAGGGATTAAGAAAAGAAACTCGAACTCATGACTATTCCATAGAGTTTGGAATAATTCATGTAATCTGTACTATAAAGTGCTTATGCTTTCCTATAAAATGTTTCTCTAACCCTAGTAAGTAAAAGGAATTTTTGCACATGCTTTCACCCCTGGTGAGTGAAGTTTTAACTGAAAAAGATGTAGGAAAAGAATGTACCCATCTCAGCACAGAAGTACAGTGCGGTAGACTGCTTGCCACTTATGTTTGGATTCTTGGAATCCACCGTTGGCCCAGACATGTAGGGATATTGGGGGAGCATAGAATATTAAATATATAAGCTTGCCATCTGTCTTACACGATTATGGATTTTTCTTTGTGAAGTCTTGTTTTTTGAAACAGGGTCTTGCTGTATAGCCCAGACTGGTCTTCAACTCTCAATAATGCTGCTTTGGACTCCTGGAGGCCACCATCACCACACTCTGCCCCAGTTTGCAGGATGTCTCACTATACCCTTGAACTTGAACCCTCCTGCCTCAGTCTCCCCAAAATGGCTAGAATTACAGGTGTGTAGCACCAAATTTTCAGTAATAATTACCATCGAAATTAGTTGTACAAAAGTCTGTGAGATGCGTGCAAGTGCAGATACCTTCCAAGCCTAATGATCAGTGTGATCACTGGAAATGATCAGTTTGATCACTGGGACCCACGGGGTAGGAGGAAAGCCGACTCCTGTAAATTGTCCCCCAACCCCCACACAGGCAAGGTGAGCAAACACACACACAATGAACAGATCTAAGAAAACTTTAAGTGTCAATTAGTTTTTGAAGACCTCTATGAGATGTAATTCCCACCCCATTTCTGTGATTTTCCAAAGGCTTTTTCCATAAAATAAAGACAAACACAGGATATATTCTATCACCACATTTATTCAAACTGACATCACATGGCTTCAGTTAATACACACTGAGAAGAACACAGAATTCCAAAAATGCAGGTTACAAAGAAACATCAGACAAGCTCAAACTCAAGGATATTCCACAAATAAAGCGGTACCGTCAAAATGCCATGCTATCAAGTACAGACAGGCGAGAAACTGCTCCATACCGAAGAAACCAACAAAGTCCATCAAGTCCAGAAATGTGGATCAAATCCAGGACCTATAAGGACATTTTGGGATAATTTGTGAAATTTTAATAAGGTCTGCAGAGTAGATAGATGAGATCAATGTTGACTTCCTGGTTTTGATGTTATCTAAATATGCTGAACAACGTAACCAAGAGGCTGTCACCAACACAGTTCCTGGCTCTGTGGCACACATCTGGATTAAACCAGCAATTTGATGGTTACCATTCTCAGATTTCAGTTCCCTGTAAGCAATCCCTCATGAAAGGATTGAGAGCATGAGGTGATGCGTGCGTGCGTGCGTGCGTGCGTGCGTGCGTGCGTGTGTGTGCTGAAACTGAGGACTGACTAAGCACAGGGAATGCTCACGCTGGGCAGGAAAAGGAGAGTCAAAGATCCAAAGAGCATTCAACACTCAAGTGTGCCACAAGAACACCCCAAAAGGCGACTCTGCTGTCCAGTCTTGGATCTGAGGAGTAATCAGATCATAAAGAAGAGCCATGAAGGGAACAATGCTAGCCTCACCTGCTGGCTTTCTCACTTGCTGTCAGGAGACAAAAACTCTGGTCACTAACAACTGTCTGAGAACTGGAATACAACACAGCAACAGGGCACCTAATCCACACACACACACAAGGCCCTGGGTTCAACTCTCAGAGGCAGAAAGACAACAAAATTAAATCTGAAGTCAATTTAAAACTACTTGCTAAAAAGTAACTAAAAAACCCAAAATACTCAGCATGCTATATATAACAAAGGAGATTCTCAACCAAACAAACAGAAAACAACAACAAAAACCCTAACCCTGATAAACAAAACAAATTTAAAAAAAAAACCAAAGTGAAACAAAGCAACAAACAACTACACCAAGGCTAACAAAGGTACCGTTTTATAAACTAAGGAGACAGAACCTAGAAGGGAGAGATGGCCTATAAATGGGGGTTAACTACTCTATGCCTCAGTTTTCTCCCTAGTAATAGTTCTAGAATCCAAGGCTCCCGAATACAAAGATCAAGGGACACGAAGCAGTTAAAGCTTAGGGAAATGTGCTGTCCTCAAGAAGGGCTCAATATGTACAAACACTAAATTTGGGGGGAGTAAATCTGGTAAATAAACTGCTTTCCAGGTTTAAAGGTTATTAAAATCAATAGACAAACCTAGAAATAATGTAAAGCCCCAGCAACAACCTTCTTCAGCCTCGACCTAATCCTTATCAAAGCAAATCAGTTTTAAAAACAAAGCCCATGGCTTAAAATACTTGGAACTTTACACACATAAAGTATAAGGACAAAGGGAAATGTTTTAAATTATCCTTTCCCCCTTTAATATCTGAGTTCATTTGAACAAGAGATGAGGAAATGCCTTCTCCTTACCTTCCATTTCCCCAAGTTGGCATTTTGGTGTATAATTCTGTAATTCCATGATTCTAAACATAAAAGTCCTTTACTACAAAGTAATTTCTCATTGGAGAGAGTAAGATATTCTCATTCTAGAAACAAACCCTGTAAGTCAACAACTCTAGGGTCACAACGCCTGTCTCACTCTCCCCTGACACACTCTTCCATGTCATCCTGTCGGCACGGTCTTACGCTATGGCACTAGAAGACAGGGAGGTAGATGGAAGGTCTGGGGTTCTCCTTTCCCAAAATGGGTCAGATGGTGGGATGGATCCTGCTCCTGAACTCAATCACAGCTGCCCCATCACTCCACCATGCAAATGAGTGGTCGTTTAATCTTTTGAAATAACTACTGATTAGAGTACAACTGTGCATCTTTGGTTAAACTCTTTTCTCGCCAGCATCAACATTTGCACTCTCTTATTTATCATCTCTCAGGCCTTTTACAGAGTTACTTCAGACTTGGTTACTCTCTGACTCTTTTTAAGTATTTCCAGGAAAAGGTTCTAATATGAGGAGAGAGTACACACAAATTTCAATATTTAATAAATTTATCTTGATAACATCAAAACAAGCTTACACTTTAAATTGCATTATAAAAAATACATCGGTCTTCACATTAGTTTTACATGGAAATATATAATTATTTGAATATTTAAATATAGCTTTCTTTAAGCAAAAGAAAAAGTGTTACTCAGAGCCCTAGTTACATAAATAATTTAAATGCACAAATGCAAAAAACACTCTTTACACAATATTGTCCACACACTGTATACACCAGGACAATTACAATAAAAATCTATTCAAGATACTGAAAAGGACAAGATTAACAAAATATTCACTATGGTTGTAATTTGATGTACTACTATTAAAAGACTAAAATGCACTCTTGACTACACAAAATAAGCAATTGTTTCAACCTAGCCTGAAAATTAAGCCAATATTCATGTAGACAAAGGGGCACATCTTGTATCCTATCAAATTCTGAAAAATTCACTTCCAATTTAACTTACGTTTTATAATTTCAAGTTTCCAAGCTTGCCTAAAATAATATTCCTTAGAAGAACTTAGTAAACACTTGCAAAATGCTAAACAAAACCTGTAGCAGACATTTTATAGTTGGGTGATGTGAATTTTACATAGGAATCTTTTCCTTAAAATGATACTTAGAAAAGTTTCCGATTTGTGGGGAAAAAAAAAAACTGTAACATTTTTGAACTTGAAATTTTTATCATTTGAATTATAAGAATAATCCACATTGCAGAATATAATCGTAGTAGACATAATCTGGCATAATTCCATGGTAGGTTATTTGAGTATGAACTCTCTCTTTTAACTTATATTGCAGGAGTGTTTATTTTAGTGGGTGTCTGGGAACTACAAAAGACATTAGGGTGTCTGGGAACTACAAAAGACATTAATACCTGCAAACAGAGTGCTTTTACATGTTTACTTCATAATCAGTGAAACAGTTTTCTTCCTTAATTAAAACTTGAAGATTTAAAAAAAAAAAAAAGACTAGTGGCTTACTGGGATATTTTTTAAGAAAGGGAATTAAAATGTTTGTATAATCAGGAGGCAAGGTTGAAGAAATTAAACACGTTACTTGCCAACTAAAAAAAACACATTTGTCCACTCTGCAATATAATTACTGCTTATATTTAGAAGTAATGACAGTATCACCATTAATGACTCACAGGTTAAGTAATGGCACCTGAAACAAAACCACATTGATATTTCATTAATTCTAAGGTAACACAGTTTTATCTCTGAAATCACCACACAGCTTAACACTGACACTAGTTTCACTAAGATATATTAGTTACACAATAAAGGGAAACTTTGTTTCCTTGTAACATTGATGACAGAAAGAGATTGAGGTCTTGACTGAACAAGAACTAGGATGCATCTGCACCAGGTCAGTCAAGGTCCCTTTAAAGGAATATATATACTCAATCAAGTACCAGAGGCTCACACTGTGTATCCAAGCATCTTTTATCTGAACTGTTAAAATCAATCAGGTAGTTGAAGATGTCAAATTAGTCTCACCTTGAACTATCTAACTAGTTTAAGATAATTAGACAGTTGAAGATAAACTGATTGATGTATAAATCGTTTCTCACTTGTAAAGTGGGTCTCTAGTTAAGTTACTAGTTTAAGTGTTCTGAAATGTTCAAGCTTTTCACTCATTGACAATGGCCAGCCCACACACTATTATCAAACCAGTAACTTTACTTCAATATTTTAAATGGTGCCTGAAATATTAATAAGATGATAAAAATTACCTGGATTTTCATTTTAGACTACTAGTAAAGGGAGAAAAGGTAGTTTAAAAGCCTAATCATGTTTGCAAAGTCTTTTTCCATATAAGGTTAATAATGCCAATGAACAGACTTGTGGGTATGTGTCCAAAAAAGGAAAGCTCCAGACTTGCAGATCCAATCTAAATGAAGGAGAATTTCTGCTGTCTATAAAAATCACCAGGCACTTAAAAAAAAAAAAAAAGAAAGAAAGAAAAGAAAAAAGAAAAAAGAAACCTCAATTAAAGAATTATTTCGTGGAATGCCTTTAAAAGAAAAATAAATTATATTTTTGTGAACATTCAAGTCAATCATAGTCGAAAACTCAGATAGCACAATGCCGCTCTTTTTATTCATCCAGTTAGAATACTTATTGACGATTCAACTTGTAAGCGTGGTAATTCAGTAAAGACGTCTGTCCAGTTGTTTAAAAGATGACATTAATAAGTTTGCTGTGTTCATTCTCCCAGTGTTATAACTTTTTGGCACGAAAGATTTCCAGAGGAAATGAATGTGGACATGATTTAAGGGACAAAATTCTATGCTAAATTATAAGACAAATTAAGATGAAGCTCTTCTACAGAAACAGGACAAAGTTTGCTTTTAAACCTTTAAAAGAAAAAAAAAAAAAGGACCCTAAACACTAATCTTAAATGAATATAAAATCTCTGAAAAATAATATCTGTAGCAAAATAGTGTAAGGATAGTGTCAGTTTCCCCGCCAAAGCTGGGAAAAGTATGTCCATTCAAGTCCGAATGTGTCCCGTCCAAGTGAGGACTGATCTCTCCATCCGCCACGATATGCGGCGTTTACTTTGCCTCGGTGCTTCTCGATTTCCTTGTGCGACGTGTCACCATCCTGTCGGCGTTTGATGTGGAACTTGAGCTTCTCAGGTCATACTCTCTCACGGGCAGCAGCTTCTTCTTCTTCCTCCTTCGGTAGGTTTTCCGGTAGCGCTTTACTCCCGCAGCGGCATTCGCAGCGGGAGAGACAGCGGGCAGCAGTGCGGGCCCCGCCGCAGCCGCCGCGGCCGCCGCCGCCGCCGCCGCCGCCGCGCTGCTGGACGGCTCTTCGGGAACAGCTGGGACAACTGAGACCACGCAGAGGCGCGAACGTACACGTGCACGCGCACGCGCACGCGCTTCAGCGGCTGCTCTCTTGGCCTCCTTTATCTTCCTGGCGACGATCTTCTTCTTCCTCAGTTGCATTCGAAATAAAACAGTCTTTGACTGACGCCTCCGGAGGCGTGTAAAACTACGGCCGCGAATATACTTCCTAACGATGTCGGTGGCTGTCAGCTGAAGCCAAAGAGCCATTTTTTCTGAAAACTTCGTTCTTTTCCGGAGAACCACTGTTTTGTAAGCATTTTTGAGTAAGCTTGATTGATGTGTAGCGGCCATCTTCTTTTTCCAAAATCTCTTTTGATTTTTACTGTCTATAATCTCCTTTAGAATTAATTTGGGAATAATTCTGGGACTTTCACGATTGGAAAGAGTTTGCTGGAAATTGTTATCCTTTGGAACTGCAGGAACTGCACCTGAATTTTCTGGAGGTGAAGACTGGCTGGCCCCAAGGATCCTGAACACCCTTCTTTTCTTCGGCGTTGCCAGAATGGGTCTCGAAGCCACGCTTGGTCTGTCGGCACCACTCTCTCCTGCACTGGGCATGGGGTCAGTCTTGCTGAGACCACTGCCAGCTACCTCACGTTTGTCCCAGTCTGCTACCGCTGCGGTCTGGGGAGGATTAGTCACAGGTTTCTTATGTGCTGGGCTAGGAGCGCTGTGCTCTTTACAACTGTATAAGAATTGTAAGTCCCTCTCCCTGCCAGCCTTCTTTCTAGGCAGTTTCAAAGACTGATTTTCCTTCATAGTTAGAGAAGAAAAAATAGAGACTAAGGAATCCGGCTGTACAGGCTCCGAAGCTTTAGTCTGTGGTCTGGGTGACTTTGTTTTCTTAGTTCGGGTTTTCTTTTTCTGGCTGTCAGGTTGGGAATGCTTCCCTTTTGTTAATTGTTCTTGTCCTGCCGTTTTTCTTTTCTTCCGAGACCTTGCTTGAGTTCCACATCTGACTCCTTCTACCTGGTTCTCAGAAGCCACATGCCCATGTTGCTGATGGAGCCCCTCTGCTAGGGAACAAGACGGTTTACCTACAGCCACTGAGACGTCATTGGTGTCTCCAACTTTACCTTCAATATATTCAAGATGTGACAATGCGTGAACTGATGTGTTCTGGTTATTGTCAGAGCAGGCAGTCCTTTCTTTTGCACCCAGAAGAATTATCTTGGTCTTAGAGCAACTGGAGAGATGACCTTGAGATTCCTGTGCGTTGCTTTTCACCTCATTTTTCCTCATCCGAGACCGAGTTTTTCCAACAACCGATTCTGCTTTGCTCATCTGAGACCCAGTTGTTCCAACAACCGATCGTGGTTTCCTCTTCTGACACCGAGGTGTGTCAACAACCAATGGAGCTTCGCTCATCTGAGACCGAGTTGTTCCAA